CATATAGTAGTCCTTTTTCTTCTGATTGCATTATATCTTTGCCTGTGCAATTTCAGTCGTTTTCTTCCTCCCCTTTTGTTTTTGTTGTCATAGATTATCCTTTTTTTAATTCTGTGTGTTTGTTTCCAATTGTAGAAGTTATAGTCTTAAATGCTTTTTTTTCCCTTTGATCTTTACGTTCTAGTTAATACTCTGTTCTGAAATAGAGTTGCATTTTCCTGTTTCTATGTCATGCTACTCAAACTTTTGTATACTTTGTCTTTTTATTTGTTAGAAAAGGCCCTTTCAACATTTCTTGTAAGGCAGGTTTTGTTGAGGTAAAATCTCTCAGCTTTTGTCTGGGAAAGCCTTTATTTCTCCTTCATATCTAAAGGATCTCTTTGCTGGATATATTATCCTTGGCTGGTGGTTTCTCTCTTTCAATATTTTGAATATTTCACTTCACCTTCTCCTGGTTTATAAGGTTTCTGCTGAAAAATCTGATGGGTATCTAATGGGAATTCCTTTGTAGGTTCCAGTCTTTTATTTTCTCTGAGTATATTGAGAATTCTTTCTTTGTAATTAACATTTGAATTTTATTATAACGTGTCTTGGAGAAGGTCATTTTACATTGAGGTAATTGGGTTTTATGTTTGAATTTCTTAAGTAAATTAAATGTTGGTAGGGGATCTTTCCTTAGTCCCTAAAAGTAAATCAACTCAGACAAGACAGTATACTTCTAATTGTCTCTTTCAGTCAGACAGGAAGGTCTAAATACTTCATTTGTATAAAATGTGAGCTTATGTTATAGCAAGGTTGATGAAATGAAAAGGGGCTAGGGTAAAGAGAAGAGCCTGTTACATAATATCTGAATTCTATAGACATTTTTTTCTGCATTAACTTTGCTATTGAATAAGGAGAACATAGAGCTTCTGTTAAAGTAGAGTAGTGAACCCCCAGCTAATAATTCTAAACACTAAATAAAACAATTTTTAATGGCTATTTTAAAACACTGGATCCACATCCAGAAGCAGACAGAAACCAAGGGACAGTTTGATCCCCAGAACTGCAATTGGAAGTTTTTGGTTTCTAGGGCATGTGTGTCGCTCGACCCTATGGCCGTGGCTTCCAAAACAAACAAATAAACAACAGGGATGAAGAAACTGCAAGGTTACTAGCTAAAGGTGCTAAAGGTCAGAATTCAAGGCAAGAAAGCAGCGGGACATTTAAAGGGAAAATCCCAGCAGCACCAGCACCACAGCTTTTAACAACTGCCTTGGATAATACATTCTATGTTCAGCAAGAGTTCTTTAAAAACTGATTTTCTCACCCAGAAGCTTGTTTCTGTTCCAAGAAAAACAAAAAACAAACAAAAAAAACCACTTTTTAAAACATCTTAAAAAGAAATTAAGAAGTACAAATTAGAGTTACAAAATAGTCACAGGGCTGTAAAGTACAGCATAAGGAATATAGTCAATATTGTAATGATTATGTAGGGTGTCAGATGGGGGTACTAGATTTATTGGGGTGATCACTTCAAAAGTTATATAAATGTCTAATCACATATTATACACCTTAAACTAATATTCTATGCCAACTGTAATTGCAAAATAAAATTAGTCTAAAACCAAACAGGAGTGTAATATATCTTTACACTGAACTTTAAGATATTTTAGCATGCTTTAGAATCACACTTAACATTTTTCATCTACCCCACCAAAGCAGTACCTCTCCTCATTTCCAGTTTTATCTAATGTGATGTTGTGATTTATAACATACATTTGTTCTGTTCTTGACATAGAGCTTCTAAAACGCTTAGAATTTCCTAAGTGTTAAGAGCAAAATGGGTGTCTTTTGTTCTTAACATTAGGACTTTCAGAAAGCACCTAAGAATAGTGGTTTGTTGTTGTTTAGGGAAGCAGTGTTGAATAGCAGGTTGACTCAACCTTGAATCGTAGATTGAAACTTTCAGTCCCACCCCCTGATTTCTGGGGAAGGTAAAAGGGCTGGAGGTTGAATCAATTACGAAGGCTAGTGATTTAGTCATGCTTAAGTGATGGGGCCTTCATAAAAAGAAAACCCCCTAAGGAGATTTGGAGAGCTTCTGGGTTGGTGGACACCTGGAGATTTGGGGACGAGTGGTGTGCCTGGAGAGGGCATGGAAGCACCCGTCCTTTTCCCATACCTTGCCCTTTGCATCTTTTGCCTGGGTTTTCCTGAGTTATATCCTTTTATAACAAATCAGTAATCTATTGAGTAAACAGGTTTCCTGAGTTCTGTGAGCCATTCTAGTGAATTAATCGAACCCAAGGAGAGTGTCGTGGGAGACTGATTTATAGCCAGTTGGTCAAAAGTACAGATAACTTGGACTTGTGACTGGTGTCTGAAGTTCCAAAAAGGAAGTCCATCATAGCACAGGGAACAACCTCTGAACTGTCTCAGAAGAGTGTCAGAACTGAGTTGAATTATCAGACTCTCTGGTTGTGTCTGAGAATTGCTTGTAGGATTGGATTCAAAATCTTTTGCTACAATATATCCATCCTAAGTTGATAACTGAATGTCATTTTTTCATCACCTGTACACTACATTGAGTCCTTGCTCATTCTTCCTGCAAAGTCTCCAGGTGCTGTCCTACCTGCTTCTGCTCTCTGCCCTTGTGCAGTCCCTCCTCATCTAATTGAATTGTTGAACATCTTGTGTCTCATCTTCTTCAAACCAATTTTTATCACATCAGTACTGTTCAAAACTTAAAAGCAGTAGCTTCTTGTCCATAGGATAAAACCCAAACTCCTTCCTACGCAGTGTTCTCACAATTTACTCCTAGCTACTTATTCGTCACCAAAGTCAGACCTTTCTCCTTGTTTCCTAAACATAACTTGTTCATTTTCTCCTCTTTTGCTGCTCTTGTTGCTAGAGCTGTGAAATCTCTCCACCTACACACATTTTAAGACCAAGTTCAGATACTTAAGCAACTGAAAGCTCTAACTGCACTGGCTGCTTCTCTCCAAGCCTAATTTGACCCTTCTTCCCTTTAGTAAGGTGAAGCTATAAGTAACATCCTTTAAAATAATGTATGAGAAATTATGAATCAATTGTTACTTACAGGCCTTATACATATTCTCATTATTTGATATTTGAAACAACCATTTTAGCCTTACCTCCAAAGCATGCAGCATAATCTTCTGAATATCCTTTGGAATAGCAAACCTTTATTCTTTGATAGGCTATTTCTTGTAAATGGCCAAAATTTAGCTGGAGCAAAGACTGACGAATAGAGTGGGTAATCTGATTTCAACTTTGTTCAGTCTTAACTTATACTTAATTTACAAAGTCGTTTGTTTTTTGTATATACACATATTACTGTTCTCACCCAAATATAACCCCTTTCTCAAACTTCTGTGACCTCCCCCATGGCACTGGCATATTATTGTTATTCAGTACATGTCTCTTGAATTGTTAAATTTTATATACACATATGCCCACTGATCAATAAACTATCCTCCAAAACATGAACTTCAGCACTGTAGAAGCTACGCATCCATGAATTATTCTTCACAGTCTTGACAATTCCTACGTGACCGCATAAGTCAACATAATTTAGTTGAAGCACAAATGCCTCATGTCCTGGAATGCTGATGGGTAGAAGCAAACTCACTTGAGAGAGTGTGAGCCTAACTAGCACCTAAGCATCATCTTTAACCATGGCTTTATTGTCTCTGTTGTAGGGGAAATAATATGCTAGACTGAGTGCTATTTGAAATTAGGGAATTCCCCAGTCTCAGGATGTATCTCAGATGTAAAACATCTCACGTTCAGTAAAATTACTGCTTCTACAATAAGGTAGGAAGAGACCAGTCTGTTACAGGTTTCCAAGATCTGTTCATTCTTTCCAGTCAAGAAATACAAAGGAAAATTGGTGCAGGGTTACATATGCTTTGGATTTCACGTTTATCTTTGACTTGTTCAGGTTTACAGTGATTATTCAGGTTTAATATACATGACACACCTAAGACGGAGACTGGCGTGATTGAGGCCTTTAAGTCATTGATTTGGACATATTCTGATAGTATTGAGTAACAGGGAAATACTTGTGTATAAATCGCTGTTCTGCTTTTATTATTCTAGACTGAGACGGGAGAAACAAGCCCGCACTGAAGTTAGGAAGAAAACTTTACAGAAAAAGAAAGCAAGACTTCTTCAGGAAAAGTTCCCACATCTTTCTGAAGCTTAGAAGTCAAGTCTTGGCTAAGATGTCTGAACTCTTAATTTACCATTTTGTTTTTCTTAGATAACAGTCTGGATTTGATAGTAACTATATATTAAGTGGTTTATAAAGAAACTGTTTTTAGTCAAACGTCTGTTTTACGTGTTAATATGGCATGCTAATTCTGGAAGTGGTCCTGCTTCTACTAGATTTTTTAAAAATCAAGTATAAACTCCAGATTAAATTCTCATTTTATAAACTCTGATATTTAAGCTGACTTTAAAGCACCTGCATCTTAGAGTGGGAAAGTAATGTCAACTGCTAGAGCAAAGGCAATTCAAGTCACATTTTACTACTGTTAATAGGGTATGAAAGTGGTGTGGATACTGCTAATAATAAACAGTGAGTACTTTCACTGAAAATAATGATAAATACATTTAATACTTGAAATTATCAAGTCATGACACAGTCCAAAAAACATGTTTCTGGAATGGCTACTAATTTTCATTTAATTTGCAAGCCTAGGGTTAAAGGCATAGGCAGTAAATTTTACTTGTCAATAAAAAGCAATTCTAACAATCCACTGGTAATATACTAAACAGAATTGGAAAGCATTTCAATAAAAAGCAAAATATTTAGACAAAATAGACATTTATACAAAATTATAAAATGCTTATATAAGAATATGTGCATTTCAAGGAAAGCATAAACTTATTTTAATTTATAAAGCCAGTTATACAAAATTATAAAATGCTTATATAAGAATATGTGCATTTCAAGGAAAGCATAAACTTATTTTAATTTATAAAGCCAGTTAAAGCCTTAAAAATTTTAAGTAGAAATTGAAATATGCAAAAATGTATAAACATTCTACAAAAGATGGTCATTCTTTTCCTGAGTATACTAAAGCTATGACACGTAAGGTGACACAGGAAGGCAGAGGTGTGGGGACTCTGTTCAGGGGCATTTCCTTTCTACACACTGCTTCCCTCCTTCTTCATATTCTTGTTTGGAAATCCACATCTGTTGAAAGGTGCCCTGTAAAATGGAAAGAAAAATTATATATATTGTGCCTTTTTATTAGAAAATACTTTTTCTTTAGTATATCTATTTTCACGTCTCCTAACCTTTGAAGAAATCTTAAACCCTCCTCGAAAATAATTTTCCATTACTCCCTTATGACTGCTCTCCTCCAGAACCCACACGTTATTTAGGGTTAGAAAGAATATTATCTTTCTATACCTGTTACACTGTCATGAGGATAGAAAATGGCTGTGAAAGGCAGGCAGAGGGTCTTCCTATGATGACTTGGTGCCAATCTAAGGCAACAATAGAAATTGTTGGAAGGCTTGATCCTAATATAGAATTGAGGGGAGATTCTAGAACTTGATTGCTTAATGGTAACGTGTAGAATTCAAAAGTACTCATCAGAACCAGGATGAACATTTGCAGGCGCTCATACCATCACACACAAGCACTTTACCAAATAAACACAGAGGGTGAAAGGAGAAAAGTGACCAAAGGAGGAAGGAACCAGGGCTACATTAATAAGACATGCAGGAGAAATCCACTCCCTATGAGTGACTCTACTCAGGTGGGTTCATACATGTGATCTAGTTTTGATCGAAGATCTGATAAAAGATTTAAATAGGTAATAGATAAAAATTATGTATATATACACACACATACACACGCAGTTACAAACATTTCATGGCTTTAAAAGTTTTAGCATAAGTACTTGGTAACATTTACTTTGGTTGCTCTGAGGCAAAGAGAAAATTATCTAGTCAACAGTATAGATAAGTACAAGGACTTTTACTACTGATTCAGGGCAAGGGCAAGCACCATTCTAAGCAACGTGCGAAACCCAGAACCATGATTTCATCATTTGCCTGAAGAACCAATTCCTGACTTCATCTACCTCACCACCAGAACCTGAGAAGGAATAGTTTAATTTTCAAGTGTGCTACAGTTAAGTCCAGTGCCAAGAAGAGTACTAATAGAAGAGGCATGAGTGAGTTAACAGATTCCCACCTCTGTTTAAGAGGAGAAACTGAAATTAGGCTGAAAATATCCACTAATAAGGCAACGAAGCATTTTGTTATATTAGAACATGTAAAACTGGTATTATCAGTTCTTCTACTCATTTGAGAGTTAGGAAATGCAAAGACAAATGATACACTGGAATTACTTTTAGTCTTTTTAGAAATAGACGATTTTCAGTGGTATATATTTTTCAAATGTCCCACATTTATTTACATATGAAATGTATTTTATGCCATTATAATGGATGTAGTGCATAACATTCTATGGTACATTGAAGTTAAATCAGTCAATAAGAATCTTTAACTATTCTGCAAAGTACTTTATCTACTCACCAAAGAAGCTAGAATGGAGCCACCAATCCATGAACTAAACCTCCGCTCTACTGTTGTATTATTTGCAATCAGTTTCAACCGCATACTCTAAAATAGAGAAGAATAAGTATTATTAGTATGAACAAGTAAAACGGGTGATGCAACTTAGAAGTCAATTGTGACTATTTCTTAATGACTCTGGTTTTAAACACTGAATATACATAATTTTGCAATAGCTAGCCTAATTGTAGACATAGGTTGAACTGTATAGTAAGATCTTTTAAAATACTTTAATTATGGCTCTTAATGACTAATATTTAATAATAAAATAAATTATATAAACCTTACAGAACTGCATACCAAAGAGTATAGCATTCACCATTTATATCCTATAACAGCAAACATATACTTACCACTACAGTAAGTCAGGTAAGGTGCTCAGTGCTTCAGCTATAACTTCATTTCTTCTAGCATCAAGTACAATTATGATCCCAACCTGCCACCCATTCAGGAGTCCTCCTTACTTTCTGACTTCTTTTTTAGGCCTTCATGATATCCTAACTCCTCCCCATCCCCCAAACGCTCTCTCACTTAAAAAATAAAACACAGACATCAGATCTCACCTGAGTTTTTTATTCGTACTGCTTTCCTTCCAAATCAATGTTTCTGTTTTGAACTCACACCCTCTCTCTTGATAAACACATTTTTTTTTGCCTCAGTAATATTCTTTTACCACTTTCTATATAAAGAGATTTTACCCCCTACCTGGGAATTTCCTTCTGGGGACAGTTCTCAAATTGCTGATACCTTCCAATTATTCTATAGACGAATACATAGTCTGAGTCTTTTTCACAGTGAAAAAAATGTGTGTGGCAGGTGGTGCTGGGAACAAGAGGGATGAACATGGGTTTTTGTGGGAGACTGGTTGGTATCTATTACAATGGAATCATTTCCCTCTTATATCATTAATTTTTTATTGCCTCCTAAAGGACACAGATACTAGCTAACTAGTCTTGACCAGACCTTTGACAGCCCATGTCTATATTCAGTATTCTGGAACTTTCTATGAACTCTAATGATTCATGCTACAATTAAAGTATACTCTAGATCAGACTGTATCTCCAAGAAGGTAGTAAACACAAGGCAGGTGTCAATCTTGTGCCTATCTCAATATTTAAATAACACAATTATAAGAATGTGGCATAATATTTAAATAACAATTATAAGAATGTGGCATTTGTAAAATATTTCTTTATGTGAGAAACCAAAGAACTACCAAATATACGAACTTTTAAGGCCCATGTAACTCCTAGTAAGTTTTTTTAAAAAGTAACATTTAGTGCAGAATACTCTGAAAGAAACTACTTGTTATAAGTTTTAAAATCCAAAGGTTATGACTGTTACTCTGTTACATGTATCAATGTCACATGTAAGCTACCTGCCCCCAAACCAGGTTCTTCTATCCTTTTAAAAGTTATTACAACGCACCTGTGATCTCTTCCAAACAAACACAGCTCTTCAGTTCTCTGCCAAATGTGATGCTGTAAGTTCGCTATTAATAAGTGACATGACATGGTACTGATTTTGTGAGCTGTACTGTGTCCTCCAAAGATATACACTGAAGTTCTAACCCTGGTTCCTGAAATGTGAC